GGGAAAAAGGGTCGGATGTGCCAGAAAACTGCTGGAAATAGGGTCGGATGTGCCGGAAATGGGTTGGTCCGTGGTGGCATCTGCTGTCACTTTTCCCACACGCAGCCTTCGGTGCTCTGGCTTTGTGGCCTCTCCCCTTCCTGGGGGGTGAAAAGGTCCAAATTTGGGCAAAAATGGGGCAGAGGTTCTCTTGCCAGACCCCCAAGCACCCTGGGGGGGGACCCAGGGGTCCAGGCAGCCTCCCCCATGCCACCCCTGGCCCCCACCTCCTTCTGGTGGCAACCACAGGACCCAGATGTTTGGGTGCCCACCCAGCACCCCACAGGGAACCCAAGCATCTTGCCAGGCCCCAAGCATGCTGGAGGGGACCCAGGGGTCCAGGTGGCCTCCCCCATGGCCACCCTTGGCCCCCACCTTCTATGGGTGGCAACCAGAGGACCCAGATGTTTGGGTGTCCACCCAGCGCCCCACAGGAACCCGGGTGCCCACCCAGCACCCCACAGGGAACCCAGGCATCCAGGTGCCCTTACCGTGACGTAGGTGACATGTATCTCACTGGTGGGCATCTCGGGGGGGTGCGCTCGTCGCCTCAGCGCCCTAAACCAGCGCCGGTACTGCTCCATCACCTGCGGGTGAGACCCACAACCACGTCCTGAGTGTCCCTGCCCCCTCCCCATGCATCCCCGGGCACCTGGGTCCCCCCCACCCCGTCCCTGCCGGTTGAGGACGCAGTGCATGAGGAAGATGAAGGCTCCCTGCAGGCTGTTGATGATGGTGAAGACGAAGGCCACCGCGATGTTGTCCCCCTGCGCCTGCAGCAAGCCCAGGCCCCACGTGCAGCCCAGGACGCAGATGTTCGCGAGTGCCTTGAACGTCATCAGCCTGGCGGGACGCTCAGATTTTGCTCTTTTTTTCACCCAAAAACCCATCCCAGAGGGTCTTCTTCCCTCCAAAAACCCAAACCCGACGCGTCTCCCACCGATGCAAAAAAACCCACCGGTTGTTTTTTAGGACTGTGACGTCGGCGTTGAGGGCAGAGAGTTTGTCCCGCAGCATCCAAAGGGTGGCGAGAAAAAAGAGCAAATTCACCTGGGCAGAAAGCGACAAAAATAAAAGAAAAAAAGGCATCATTTTGCAAGACAGTGTTCACAGGGTGGAAATTTGGGGTGGGGAAAAAGGTCAATGGTGGCAAAAACCCATGCACTGTGGCGTGACCTTCACTGGGTGCACCCAGCCTGGGGGATGTTTCCTTCATGCCATCCCTTAAATATAGCTGGGAATTTGTTCTTTTTGGGAAAATCTCTCAAATTCCCCAACTGGGGGTCTACAGGACAAAAGCGGTGGCCATGATCAGACATTTGGGGTGGAAAATGCTGATGACACAGAACTGGGAGGAGGGGTGGATGCACCAGCAGGCTGTGCTGGATCCAGCAAGATCTGGCCAGGCTGGAGAGCTGGGCAGAGAGGAACCTGATGAGGTTCAACCAGGGCAAGGGCAGGGTCCTGCACCTGGGGAGGAGCAACTCCAGGCACCAGGACAGACTGGGGCTGACCTGCTGGGAGCAGCTCTGTGGAGAGGGACTGGGAGTGCTGGGGGACGACAGGGTGACCATGAGCCAGCAGCGTGCCCTGGGTGCCAAGAAGGCCAATGGGATCCTGGGGTGCATGAGGAGGAGTGGGGGCAGCAGGGCGAGGGAGGTTCTCCTGCCCCTCTGCTCTGCCCTGGGAAGGCCCCATCTGCAGTGCTGTGTCCAGTGCTGGGCTCCCCAGTTCAAGAAGATAAAGATCAGGTCTGGAAACCTTCCCGTGGAGCTCCACAAAGCTCTACAACATGGAGCACTGGAACAGGTTGCCCAGAGAGGTTGTGGAGTCTCCTTCTCTGGAGATATTCCAGTCCCGCCTGGACGCGGTGCTGTGCAGCCTGCTCTGGGTGACCCTGCTTGGACAGGGGGTTGGGCTGGGTGACCCCCAGAGGTCCCTTCCAACCTCCACCATGCTGGGATTCTGTGAAATGGGGCAATGGTGCCATCATTAATGCACCGTGGTTCATCCTCTGCCGAGCGGACCCAGCCTGGGGGGTGTTTGCTTAATGCTCTTCTTAAAGGGAAGTCTGAATTTGCTCTTTTTTCTCCCAATTTTTTCCCCCCTCCGCCTCCTTTCAGCAGCAAGGAACCCACCAGGACGACAACGCAGACGGGACCGAGGAAACTCCAGATGAAGCCTTCCTCCATGCTCAGCCAGCAGCTAAAAAGGGAGAAAAAAAGGGAAATATCCCCCCCAAAATCCCTTTGGTGGCGGGAAAATAGCTGCGTCTGGGTGCTGTGACATCTTTTTGGGGGAGGTGACTTAGGTGAAAAGAAGGCGTGATGTTCTCCCATTGATGGTCCCACCCTGGCTTGACTGACCCCGGCCTGGGTGCTGGTGGGACTCACTAGTGCTCATTGGTGTAGCCGCTGGGGTGGACGGCGGCGGAGATGACCACCACAATGGCTGGCGTGCCGTAGCCCATGGGGTAGACATATCTCTTCCTGAAGCGACTGGCGCTGGTGTAGTTGAGGACGTGAAGGTTCCTGACAGTGAGGAAGAGGTACAAACCCTCCAGGAACATCCAGGTGAAGCAGGCGAGGAAGAGGTAGTGGAGGAAGCCCGCTGTGATGGCACACGCCAGCTGGATGGGGGACAACATGGCCATGCTTGGCTCCCCAGTGTCACCACAGTGTGGGGCCCATGGAGGTGGTGGCATCTCGGATACTTGGAGATGTTCCACACGCCCAACATGGCTTCAAGGAATCTCAAGGAAGTGGAGATACTCTGGGTTGGGAGAAGACTGGAGACACCCAAATGTCTCTTCCAAGCTGAATTATCCCCTAATTTATTTGGCTCCACCCACCCAGAGGAAGAAGGGACCCGAGAGCATTGAGGAACCTCAGTTGGGTGAACCTGCTTTGAGTTGGGGTTGGGTCTGGAGCCCTCCAAACATCCTGTTCAACCTTGGTTCTCCTGTAATTCAGATGCTTTCACTCATCATGGGACCAATCAGCTCTGAGGGTAGCTCTCAGCTAGTTGGACCCACTTTGGGTGGAGGTTGGTCTGGAGACCTCCAAACATCCTGTTCAACTTCATATATCTTGCAATTCAGGTGCTGACACCCACCCATAGCGAGAAGGGAACGAACAACCTTGAAAATAACTCCACTAATTGGACCTGCTCTGAGTTGGACCAAACTTTGCAACCTCAGGTATCCCATCATCCGGGTGCTTGAGATGGGACCCCCGGCAGAAGCTCTGCTGAACAGCCAAGACCTGGCACCCTGGGTCCTTTTCCCCACAAGCTCCCCAGGGCCTCCTTGAGGTCCCAAGATACTGAAGGAGACCCTGAGAAGCATGTGGAGACCCCAAGGAGCTCAAGGAGCCCCTGAGAAGACCCTGAAGGCCCCAAGATGCTGAAGGAGACCATGAGGAGACTGTAGAGACCTCAAGGAGCTCCTGAGGATCCCCTGAAGGTCCCAAGCTCCTCAAGGAGGCCCCGAAGAGTCCATACCTTGTTACCAGTGCGGTGCGTGGCCACGAGGAAGAGGAGGTCAGCAGCAAAGAGGCAGATGCTGAGCTGCAGGTGGAGGGTGCCGCTGACGCTCCAGAGCGAGCGGCACAGGAGGAAGGTGACAATGGTGAGGAAGAGGCAGACCAGTGACACCGAGATCCCCACGTAGGACACCACCACCAGCGCAAAGGGCTCCTGTGGGTGATGTCACACGCAGGACATCACGCGAGTCCCATCCGGCGCGTGGCCACATGCAACCATTTGGGAAGGAGGAAAACACCCCCCAAAATGGGTTCTCACCTTTATGGGTCGAGTGGCCACGAGGATGGCGAAGGTGGAGAAGTGGGTGCAGGCACAGACGGAGTAGAGGGGGTCACCTCCCACGCGGAAGCAGCCCTCCGGCGTCCAGCGGCCTTTGGTGCCCACCATCTCCCAGGAGACGCAGCTCAGCTCCTCGCCTGCCCGCAGCACCTGCTGAGCACAGCCCACTCGAGGCACGTCCCGCGGCGCCTGGCAAGGGTCCACAGCACCCCTTCCTGCCGGCGCTTTGGGGGTGGAGGGGGACGGGGATGTGCTGAGCGGAGATTTGCACCGTGATGGGGATGCGGCGACCCCAAATTCACGTAGGATCCAAATTTTCACCAGGAGTTGGATGCAGTGAATCCAGATTTGTGCTATGGTGGGGACGCACCGACCCCAAATTTACGTGGGATCCAAATTTGCACCAGGAGTGGGATGCACTGAATCCAGATTTGCACCGCGATGGGGATGCACTGACCCAAATTCACACAGGATCCAAGTTTACACGAGGATTGGGATGCACTGAATCTGGATTTGTGCCATGGTGGGGACGCACCCACCCCAAATTTGCCCAGGATCCAGATTTGCACCAGGATTAGGATGGGCTGAATCCAGATTTGCACCGCGATGGGGGTGCACTGACCCCAGATTCACACAGGGTCCAAATTTGCACCAGAATCTGGATGCACTGACCCCAGATTTGCCCAGAAACCAAATTTGCACCAAAATGGGGGTGCAACGACCCCGGATTTGCCCATGGATCCAAATTTGTGCCAGAACAGGGATGCACGGACCCCAGATTCGCACAGGATCCAAATTTGCACCGGAATAGGGATGCACGGATCTTAAATTTACACAGGGTCCAAATCTGCTCTGGAATCTGGATGCACAGACCCCAAATTTGCACAGGATCCAAATTTGCACCAAAATCTGGATAGACCGACTCCAAATTTGTCCAGGATCCAAATTTGCGCCGGAATAGGGATGCACCAACCCCGGATTGGCCCAGGATCCAAATCTGCCCCGGAATACGGATACAACGACCCCAAATTTACACCGCGATGGGGATTCACCTCCAAATTCACCATCACCGTGCTCCAGGTTTGCGTCGTGGCTCCCCCCCCCCAC